GTGGCACAAGGTACAGCTGAGAAGTAAGAGAAACAGCATCTTCCTGAAGGGCATCTGGGTTCTGGCTCAAACCATGCTTGAACCTTCCTGGACTTTTTAGTTGCATGAGTTAACAAATCCCCTGCTGTCTTAAGCTGGCCTGAGTCAGACTCTCTCATCACTTACAGGCAAAGCAGACCTGACTGATAAACCCATATTCTGACGTCAAGGCCCTTGTAAAATTAACCAAGTTAATAAAATGAAGGCTGCTTCCATTAACACAGATCCAGAGCAAAAGAAACTGGGTCACATTTCCAGATACTCGACTCAGGCTTTAGGACATCTTTACCCTGCTGTAAGTATTGTAGGGGGAAAGATGCTTCAGAATCAGAAAGTGCTCAGTTTAAATCCCAGCTCTCTCATTTACCTCCTGTCTGTGTGGCCTTAGGTTTAGGTTAGTCACTAAACCTCTCTGAGACACTATTTCTTCAAACTTCTGAGACAAAGTACATAAGGCACTAGGTACACAGTAGGTGCTCAATAAATCCCCCCCGGCAACACACACACATACACACATGATATGGTTCAGCCCATCTAGATTTGCTCAATTAGAGCTACATGAAGAAGACCTATGGGGACAAAGAGGAAGGCCATCTGGGCTCCCAAGAATTCACCCGTGGTAGGTGCTGCCCCGGTCTTCTGGTCTCATCCTAGAAGCAGAATAGTGTGGTAGAAAGGAGCAATTGCTTTGGAGTCAGAGAACCTGGGCTGAAATCCTACCTCCGTTCTGTGACCTTAGACAAGCTGCCCAATCTCTGAGCCTTGTTCTTTCATCATCAGTAAAATGAAGAAGGTTTTGCCTACTTCTTAAGGGGATACAATGTTAGAAATAGATGCTCGGTGCCACAAAGAAAATCGGCACTGAGACAAAGGATCTTTCAGCAACGCAATTTTTACTTCCTGGGCTGCAGGAAGGGTACTCCCGCTAGCCATCTTGCGACGAGAGTACAATGAACAAAGGAAAACACACAAATGTATTCCTTACGCATTTGGAGTTGTCCTTACTGCTACGTCTGATCTCCGTTGGCTGGAGCCAGACCTCGCAATCTAAACTAAAACCCGACTGGCAAGCAACTTAAAACTTTTCTAAACAGGTAAAGGCCATGGAGAGCTGGGACATGCCTGTGAGCACATCCAGCACAGATATCTTGGTTAAAGTACAAGGACATAGAATGGACTACGTGCCTGTAAGCGTGGCCTGTCTATCAGCTACATAGGATAGCGCTTCACAAAGAATTACCAGCACACTTATGATTTATTCTTTAACAAGAAAGGAAACTTTAGAGAGGAACTGTTTTACTTCCCACATACAAGAATCAAAGTATGATGCTATGCACGCAGGACCCAGCACAGTGTTCCACAAAGAAGTGTGATTATATTCTAGGCCCCAGCCACGGATCCTCCTCAAGGGTTCCTCCTCAAGGCTCTGCTGCATCCCTACTCCCTGAGCTCAGCCATGCCCACAACTTCAGTTCCTTGACCTCTCTGATGACCACCAAAGTCCCCTGTGTCCAGCCCTGACCTCACTCCAGAGTTCAGACACATCTCCGCCGGGGTGTTCCCCAGCCCCCCTAAACCCGGCAGCCACTCTTGGCTCCTCCACTACTCTCTGGGGGATTTGGGTCAGTCAACTCGGCCTCGGTTTCTTCATGTATAACATGATGTGGTTTGCAGCAGGTTGTAGCCGATCACCACGGAGGCCCTCCCAGCCCTGACATCCTAGGATTCAACACCACTCATTGTATCATCCCCCCAAATGAGCATCGTCTCCTCCCTAGACTCCCTGCCTTCAAAATCAACACCTTCCTTCTTCAGCAAACCCCAACTTGAAAATTTAGGGTCCACTTATATTTGTCCCTGTTATTCATGCCACTGCCCCAAGTCTGGAAGATGCTCCCCTAGAGATGCCCCCCCCATCTGCACGCTCCTCCCTGTTACCACCACCACCAACCTCACCCAGGCCCCAGCACCACACTCAAGGAGGCTCCAGCCCCAGCTTCCCCCACGCAGCCCAGTCTGGGATCTTTGTATCCATGGAGCTTCCAAACAGCCTTCACATGGAGCCTGGGCTTCCTCATGTCACTGTCAAGCACTAGACCCCACCACTGACAATCTCAGTGCCCTGGAGATTATTTTCAGATTAGGGATGAGGAGAGGAACACTTCATGGTGTTCAGATTAGATATTTGCTACATATTTGTTGAATTTATTTGACTGTTCATGCTTCTCAAAACACATCCCTGGACGGTCATATCCAATCCAAGACAGACAACGTCAGAGGTCTCTTTGCAAATCACAAAGGGCTTGGGCCTTTGCTCCTCATTATGTTTTGTTTGTTTGTTTTTGAGACAGAGTTTCACTCTTGTTGCCCAGGCTGGAATGCAATGGCACGATCTCAGCTCACCACAACCTCCGCTTCCTGGACTCAAGAGATTCTCCTGCCTAAGCCCCCCGAGTAGCTGAGATTACAGGCATGTGCCACCATGCCTGGCTAGGGCCTTCGTTCTCAAAACGTCATGTGTATGTGACATTTTGCATACAATTTCAGGGGGTCCATTTTCCCCTTGCCCTAGCGCATCTAGAGAGCATAGTTTACCTTGGATTGAGCTCATTTTACAGATGGAAAGACTGAAACAGACAGAGGAAGTCACTTGGCTGAGAATCTGCAGAACATCTCCTCCTACCAGGCACTAGATCCTCGCACTGAAGTGCTGAGTCTGCTCCCAGCCCCAGGCCCACGGCTTTGAGCAGCAGGTCACTTATGTTCGAGAGCGGCTACATGTACCTGGCAAGACTGGAGTGAGAGATCATATAAGCCTAAGAATGGGACCCAGCCCCATGCACAGAGGACAATTCTTGTTTCATTCTTTTCCTTGCTGTTTCTTTTCCTTTCCTGGCAGGATTTGGAGGAAGGAAACATGACTGCCATCTACAGTGGTCACGGGAGGCTTCATGGAAGAGGCAAGCCCTGCCTGGGCCTCAATTTTGGGTGCTGGAGGGAAGCAGGGGCCAAGAGTTATTAATAGGCCTGGCCTGATGGGTCCAGGGAGGCTGAATGTGATACAGACACCCAGTACCATGGTTGGGGAGTACCTGACACCGGAAGGGGAGGGGGCCAGGGGCTGCAGGGAGTGCCACCGCCCAAAAATAGCCAGACCAGAAGCCTATATAGGTGGCCATCCCACCACCAGGCTTACTTCCTGACAGGACCTCCCACCAGCACAGCCTTTCAGTGCAGGCTCCAGCCCTCCACCCCCACCTGAGGTGAGTGGCAGCAACCGAGGTTGGAGGATAAGAGGGATGCAGCTGGACAGCTGGAAGGGATGAGACAGCTTCCCTGTCCCTAGTGACCCAGGGGGTGCTGGAAGCAAGGCAGCTGGGTAGTGCAAGGCTGAGAGTACCCAATCCTGCTCCTCCACCCAGACTCCTGGTGTGGCCTGGGGCAAACCCCTCCCCCTTCCCTGGTGGCTGGGCCTCAGATTCCCCAGGGTGGAGCCAGACATCTGGTGATGCCATCAAAGGGGACCCAGAGGGCAGAGGAGGCAGGAGGAGGACTACTGAGGGCTGATGGGCTGACCTAATGACATTGGTGCTGTGGCTGGGAGGACTCAGCCCAGGAGGGAGTGTCAAGTTGATGGGAGAACTCAGCAGCAGGCAGATAGCGGAAGGAGAGAGAAGAAGATTGGGCTCCTGTCAAGGCTCCAGCCTTTGCCACAGGGTCACTGCTTAGGGGCTCACCAGGAGCCAGTGTGTGGCTGAGATGTGTGGGGCCTGATGGAGCTGGTGATCAGGGAGGATCACACAGAGGGTCACTTAACTCCACGTGAGTGAGCCCAGGGGTGGGCCCTGCTTGCTACCGTTTCACCATGTGTCCTTCGGCCACTCACAGACTCTCTGCTGCCTCAGTTTCTCCACTGGCATAGCTGAAGGGTCCTTCAGCTGGGGAAATCAGTTCTCCAACTAGGCCCCTGGAGTGAGCAGAGCCTGGGAGTTGAAATGATAGCAGAGGAGCCCGATGTGTGAGTCAGCAGCCCAGTTGGGGACAAGGTGCAGAGGTGACAGCAGTAGCAGCAGGGGCCAGGGCAGCTGAGGGGTCCTGGGAAGTCCTGGAGCCAAGAGGCATCAGATCAGGAGCTGCAGCCTGGGTGCCTTGGAAGCCACTGGCAGGCTGTGGCCTGAAGGAGCTGACTCACAGGGAGGGGGCAGCTAGAGCCAGCCGTGGTGTCCTAAGGTTTCCAGGAAGGGCAGCCATCCATGGCTGAGCTGCAGGAGACAGTGTTGACAGTGAGTGTCAGGGAATTTGAGCTACTGGGCAGCTGAACAGCTGCTCTCCCTGGTCCACACCACCCAGGGCAATCACAGCCCCAGACCCTGCCTACCTGCTCATACCTTAAGTTGGAGTTCCCAGGTCCCACTACAAGGGACCACTGACATCAACACATCAGAGAGACAGAAGCCCAGCAAAGGTCACAACCCAAGGTCACCCAGGGACTTAGTGCAGCCCAGGATCTAGAACACAGGCCTCCTGACTCCCTGTCCAGTGCTCACACAGTCTAGAAGCAGCAGATTGCAGTTTGAAACCTTGGGAACCCTGGGGAAGAACACAACTGGTCTCTGGCTGCATAAAGAGAAGCACCGTGCCATATTCCAGAGGTGAAGTTCAGACCCCTATGCCTGCTTATGTTGTCTAGAAAGTGTGGTCTGAAGGTGCTATCCTCCTTCCAAACATATGCGGGGCTTTCTGGGAGGGAGCATAGCAATTCCAAGTAGCCTCCCCCAACCTACTCTGCCCAAAAAAGTTTATGGGAGCAGTGGGATTCTGGACCCACGACCCCAGGGCCCAGGAGACCAGTAAAGCAAGAGATCTGAGAATTGTTCTTTGAAAACTCAAGCCAGCAAAAAATTAAAAAATAAAAATTTAAATCAGATTCTAGAATGTGCATCCCTGGCCAGATGTGGGATGAGGCCCCAGCAACTCCTGCCCATCCCTGTCCCTGCCACCTCCTTCCTGAGTCTGTCAGGTCAGGTTTCACGGCCTCAGAGCTCAGATTTTGCAGCATAAATTTGCATCCAGGACAGAACAGAGCAGAGGCTGAGGTAGGAGTGGAGAGAGAAAGGGAGCAGAGTCTACGGGTCCCGGGGTGCAGGCTGGCCCCTGAGGGTTCAAGATCTTCCCCCAGGCGGCAGAACAACCTCTGAGGTGCCAAAATCGAAGGTCCCGCACTTCCTGCGTGCCCTTGACGGCAGGTGGACTTCCAGACTCCGCTGGTGACGCCGGTGCCCCCTAAGTCCCAGAGATGGCCCCCTCCCCTCGTGTCCTGGCCGCAGCCCCTGGGATCCCGAGGACCCCTGGCCTGGCGGTGCAGGAGCCCGAGCAGGTCCGCGCGCCTTCCTGCCCGTGGCCGGCGCTGCTCAGCCGCGAGGCTGTACTGAGCCTCTCCCGCTGCGCTCAGAGCCCGGGCCCCTGGCACCATGCCAGGCCCGGCGGGCGTGCGCTCGGCGCGCAGCACTGCAGCGCTGGTCATATGAGCAGAAATGATGAGAAAAGCACTTTTTAATCTTTTCGCACTTGCTCTGCCCGCTCAAACAGTTGCAGGATGTCGATGACAGACTTGCTCAACGCTGAGGACATCAAGAAGGCGGTGGGAGCCTTTAGCGGTGAGCAGCGCGCTCCCCTCCCCATCCCTCTCCCCTAGTCCACCGCCTGCGCCCCTGCACTCCTCGGGGCCCCGCGCGCTCCTGCCCAGGCTTCCCGCTGGGCTCCGACGGGGTCGGGGCGGGGGCGTCCTTGGCAGTTCCTAAACTCTGTCCGGGCGGGACTTGGCTGCGGGGAGCGGGCGAGGAAGCGGGCGCCCTGCCCAAGTAGCAGAAACTTGAGGGTGCCGACGGCCGGGTGGCTACGCTGGGAGGACTCAGGGTCCGGGACCAAGGAGGGAGACCAGGGTCGGAGGAGAGACCTCCAGGGTCCTTGTATGCGCTCTCCAGACGTCCTGTTTAAGGCACGTGGAGAGGGCGCATCCTCCTTTCCAAGAGACCCCTTTCCTGGACCCTCATTCTGGACAGGACTTTTCCCGCCAGGCGGTAGCCATTGCGGGCCCCCTGAGTGTCCTAGTTCCCTTACTGGGGTTCAGCAACGGACCTGCGGGCCAGGTGACCTTCTGGGGCCGGCGCGCAGCTCTGCCCAATCCTGCACGGGGCATCCTCAGCGACTCAAACCTCCAGCCTCCTTAGGTGGGCTGGGGAGGAGACTGGCAGTCTCACGTCTCTGAGCCGCCCGAGCTGCCCGGGACTTCAGCGCTTAGACGCCCGCCTTCCTCCTCCCGTGTCGCCGAGATGGGGAAATCAGGGAACTGGCTTGGATAGGACAGACACTTGCCCAAGGTCACCTAGCTGGGCAGAAGGGGTACTAGAACTGGGTCGCTCAGCCTAGGGTCGGAAGTGGACAGGGCAACTTTCCTTGCCTCTAGCCCAGTGCTGAGGGGAAGAGAACATGACTTCAACAGCCACCCCCTACACACACGGTACATGATCAAAACTTGTACCCTTCCCCGGGTGTTCTAAAAGAGGACCCCAAGACATAGAAAACTGCAGGCTGAAAAGGACCACCATTCCTTTCTGCTTCGCACATCCTTCCCTGTGCACAAGCCACTCTCCCAGGGTCCTGGGAAACCCACCCCCTTCACCTGAAGCCCATCTGGGAAGAAACTTAACTGGGTAATTCTTGCGAGCCTCCCAACACCCCACCCCCTTCACCTGAAGCCCATCTGGGAAGAAACTTAACTGGGTAATTCTTGCGAGCCTCCCAACACCCCCTTCCCTCTGCCTCGGAAATGGATTTCTGCGCAGAGCCAGGACTTCTGGGTCTGCCCCTCCTCCTCACACTGTGTGACCTTGAGAGAAACTTGTCCTTTCTATGTCAATTTTCTGGTGACATAGTCTGCGGCCAAGAAAGAAGTTCAACCCTCCTCCTGCTACCACGTTCACGCCACCTTCAATTTCCCAGCCCACTCCCACCCAACTGGCACCCAAAAGGCTTCATGGACGCAAGGTTCTCAGAAGAACAAAAGTCTTTGGTTCTTAGGTGCTACTCCCATCATCAGCAATGTGTGCAGTGGAGGCAGGGTGTGGGGGCTGGCTTGAGAGCCAGGGAGGTCTGGGTGTGAACACACCTCTTCCACTCCCAGCCGTGTGACCTTGGACAGGGCATCCTCCCTTGCCCGGGCTCCCTCAGCCCTCCAATGGAGGTGGATACCTCTCATTCCCCATGACTGGCATGTGGGAATCCATCAATGAATGCCTCGATGTCCCCCACTCTCCCACCCTTCCCTACTGCCCTTCTTGGTCCTTGTTTGACCCTACTCTTCCCGACACAGCTGCTGACTCCTTCGACCACAAAAAGTTCTTCCAAATGGTCGGCCTGAAGAAAAAGAGTGCGGACGACGTGAAGAAGGTGTTTCACATCCTGGACAAGGACAAAAGTGGCTTCATCGAGGAGGATGAGCTGGGGTAAGCAGAGGCCTGCAGGGGCTGCCCAGCCTGAGGCTGCGCACGAGGGAGTGGGGGCTGGGACTCTGGCTTCCAAGTGTCCATCAGACATGCCTTTCACTCTGCCCCGTTCACAGAAAGTAACCATGCGTGAAGGCAGGGCTCGGACCCAGGGGGCCAGGGGAGAAGGCTTCCCGGCGCAGCTGCTTCGGAAGAGTAAAACCTCTGCTCAAAGTGCAACTAACTAGGTTAAATTATAGCCACTTAATATTGCTAATGGAATGATGCTACTTAATAATTTAATACAAATGAAGGGGCAGTCTTTCTTGCTGCCTAACACCACAGGCAGGGCAGAAAGCATTCACTTAAGTATCTCATTGATTTTCATTTGTCTAAAAGACACTTTCCACCATCCTGTAGACCCCAGCCTTCCTGTACCAGTGTGGCTGGTGCGATTTCTGGGCAAGCCAGGGATGCAGAACCAGCTTTAGGGGTCCAGGGGTCCTTGGAGAAAAGCAGAGAAGGAAAAGGCTGTGGCTAACAAAATGTATGTCTCTATCCACAAAAGCATCTCTTGCCACAATCCCCTCGGCCACCCAGCCACGTCTACTGACCCAGGTTGCCTTATGTCACTTTCTGGCCAAGATAGCCTTGAGTTTGTCAAAAAAAGAAGAGGGGTGGGTGTTAAAAAAAAGAGGCCTTTCAAGCAGGCTCCTGCCCACCCATCCTGTCTGTCCCCTAAAACTATCTCACAAGGGTACCTTCTGTCTAGAACCTTCACGTTCTACCCACTCACATCCAACATGCATGCACACTTATGTGCGCACGCGCGCGTGCACACACACACACACACTCTCTCTCACACTCGCAGAGGCTGTCTTCCCCCTGTCCTCCAGGCATCACCTCCCCACTCCTCCCCTTGCCCTAGGTGGGTGAATACGGCTTTTGAGCACCCTCCTCCACTTCTTCTCATTGTGCCCATCACGCCGTGTTGTCTCTCTCAGAGCACATGACCTCCTTATTTTTTCCAGTGCCTTCCAAAGATCACCACTGTGACCCCCCTTTCCAACATAGGCCTGACACAGAAATGGCTGTTAGCAGATATTTGTTGAATAAATTAACCAATGTATAGAATGTAGGTCTGTGCTTGATAAGTAAAAAAAAAAAAAAAAAATTAACCGCTGTAGGTGCCCTCCCTGAAGTGGGATCGACCCTTCGCCAAGGACAGCCTGTCCTTCCCTGAATACTCACCCATGACAGCACAGCCACCAACCAGGCTACCTAGTGCAGCCGCCCCTTTCCCCACGCAGACACCAGCCCACCCTCCATCCAGTGTCCTCACCGGCTTTCTTCCTTTCTCCTCCAGGTTCATCCTAAAAGGCTTCTCCCCAGATGCCAGAGACCTGTCTGCTAAAGAAACTAAGACGCTGATGGCTGCTGGAGACAAAGATGGAGATGGCAAAATTGGGGTTGACGGTGGGTAGCCGTGGTCTGGGGTCTGGGCATATTGTGGATCTTGAGGTGTTGGATGCAAAAAGTTTGAAGCTATGTCTGTCACAAGGAAGGGGTGGTATGGAGGTCCCTCATTCCCCAAGATTAGAAGAAAAAAGGCAGTCAATTAGATCTGAGAGCTCTGCCACATACTCCAGGCAAAGAAAAACTGGTGTGTTATCCTAATGTAAAAACCTAAAGAAACAGATTCTCTTTTTTCCTGCTGGATAGGGGATGCGGGAGGATTTGGGATTTTTTCCTGAGCTCTGCCTGCACTTTTGCATAAGTACTGATCCAAGCTCTGCGACCTTGGGTAGGGTTTCTCCTTCGCTGGGCCTCTGTCTCCCATCTGTAATCCAAGGAAACAAGGCCGGCTAATCCCCAAGGATCCTCTGCCTCTCATATTCTCAGATTCCAGGTGGGAAATTCCTAACTCCTGTCCTCCTCAGCATCTTGTCCTGGTGTCCTGTGACCCCAAGTCTCAAAATCTGTTAGGGCTTTACTCAAGTATACTATTCTAACCTCACAGCAGAGCCAGGAAAAACAGTAAGCCAGAAAGCAGCGGGGAATTTGGACAGGGAAGACCTGGTCCTGCCTTGCTTTGCAAGCTTCGATCTCAGCACAGGCGAGAGGCCGGTGGCCACCGTCCACTTCCTTCTGCATTAGGCTCCGTGTGGCACTCATAGAGCACACCTGCATTGCCATCTCTTAGCATTATGACTTCTATGGGAATTACCTCCATTTTGCAGGTGGGCAAATGGACATTGACGGTGCTTAGCCTAGTGCAGAGGGCTAGGGTGCAGTGGTGGAGCGGCGTCTCGATGAGTCTTTGCAGCATGCTAAGCTGCCATTTGCTCCCATGATAGGCTTTTCTGCTAGTCTCAGAGAAAACTGTGTGTAGATGCTTGGCCTCTGGACTCCGGGCTCTCTGGGTTCAAATCCCAGCCCTACCACTTTCTAGTGTGTGAACTTGTACAATTAGGTAACTACTCTGGGCCTCCGTGTTCTCATCTCTGAACTGAAAATATGAGAGTTCTTATAGGGTGGTTATGAGGTTAGATGTGTTAATATGTAAAGTGCTTAGAACAGTGCCTAGCATGGAGTAAATGCTATATACGTGTTTGTTAGCTATTTTTTTTAAAACTAGGAAATAGGTTGCATTCATCCTTCTAGCCCCGGTATCTAGCCGATACCTGACACAAAGCAGGTGCTTCATAAACATCTGCTGCCTGAGTGTAAGCCCAGACCCCCATGCTCTGCTCCCTCTCTGCCCCTTGCCAGCTGTGACCTTGAACACATCACCTCTGCACACCTAAGTTCCCTTGCCTGGCAAATGGGATGCATGAGCTTCTCCTAAGACCTATTGGGGCTCGTTGTGAAAATTAAGTTTCTGTGAAAACAAACTTGCTTTGGGAAAGGTATAAGGATTATGAAAGTAGGTGTACAAGTGTGAGTTACGGGGATTTTGTTGTTGTTCATTTCTTTTTTCGCTTGTTTCTTTCCTGCCAGTAATGAGAATGGAGAATCACTATCAAGGTCAAATGCAGGGGGTCCCCTGGCCATCTGATGCCAGCTACCCTTCTTGTGGCTGGGAAGGAGGGAGGTGGCTTCAAAGGAGTGGAGAAGAGGGTATCAGAAAGGCATTGTTGGCTTGGCCGCTCCTGGGGTTTCTGGTGCCTGGCAGACTGTCCCTCACACTCCATTCCCACCAATCTGCTTCTCAGACAGCTCCACCCCAAGGCCTGGCTCCCACCTGAACCCTGATCCAGGCCTCTAGACCTGCCTTCCATTTTTATTTGCAGCCAATATGCCATAGCTCAGAAGCCCTGGGCCGGGTCTTCATGGCTGGCTGCTCACAGACAACCTACATGAAAAACCAAAGCCAGACCTGGCCCAGTTCCCTCCCTCCCCTTCTGCCTCCCTCTCTGCCACACTCAGATCTTAAAGCATCAACTAACCTCTCTTAACAAATCCAGCAGATGTTGAGTAAGTAGCAACTCTGTGCCTGGCAATGGAGGAGGTAAAAATAATTCAGGCCCGTTTCCTGGCTGGGTGCCCCTGAGCAGCTGCTCTTTAGCCCTGAGCCCCAGCTTCCTCGTCTGTAAACTAGGCATTATAACATGGGAATGTGGCCTGCAGGGCCCGGCACATAGTAAATGCTCAATAAATGGCAATTGTAATGCCATCTTTTTTTTTTTTTTTTTTTTTAGATAGTCCTTCTGTCTCCCAGGCTAGAAGGCAGTGGCGCAATCTCAGCTCTCCTGCAACCTCTGCCTCCTGGGTTCAAGCAATTCTCCTGCCTCAGCCTTTGAGTAGCTGGGATTACAGGCACACACCACCATGCCAGGCTAATTTTTATATTTTTAGTAGAGATGCGATTTTGCCATGTTGGCCAGGCTGGTCTCAAACTCCTGACCTCAAGTGATCCACCCATCTCAGCCTCCCAGTGTGCTGGGGTTACAGGCATAAGCCACCGTGCCCTGCCATGCAACGTCGTTTTTATTGTCTGCACATTGCTTGCAGCTCTAGGCATATACACAAATGAGCGATAGTGCCAACCAGAGGCAGAGGTGCAGGCAGCAGGCATTTTGTGCAGACTTGGAGGCTATGTTGCAGACTGCGGGGGCAGAGGGAGTGGGGTCCAGGCAAGGCGTTGGCATCAGCCAGGGCTGGAAAGTTTAGGGTATATTCAGAAAGGGGCAAGAAGATTGTTTTGCCAACAATGGGAGGAAAGAATTATTAGCTGGGGATGTCATGTGCATCCACCCTAGGGCTGGACTCGGTTACCTCATTCGACCTTGGGATTACAGAGGACGTTAAGTGCAGATGTAGAAAGAGCACCCCAGGGAGGGAGTGCAAGGTCACATTGCCAGCAAAGGCCAGAGCCAGGATTCAAACCCAATAGCATGGTCCAGGCCCACCTGTGCAGCCACCATTGAGCTCACAGGCAAGACATAAAGTAAACAATGAGCACAGACCACGCTAAGGCAGTGGGGCCCCACAGCTCACGCTTCTGAAGTGGGAGGATGCAGATGCCCCCTTCCTCACTTCCAGCCCCCTAATGCAGGAAGGGTGGGTACAAGGATGCTCAATAGGCGGCAAGTTGGGAAGCAGAACCTTTGGGGTCCCAGGACATTCTGTTTCAGATATTCTGCCTTGCTGTCACTCCCTCTAAAGACCACAGGGCCTGAGCCCCACCTACTAGCTGGAAGATGCCTTCAAGTCCTGGTGGGATCTGGGGCAAGTCCAAGACCCGCTGTGATCACAAAGTGCCTCATCTGTAAAACCATGGAGCAGATCACTAGCCAATTGCGGGGGTGCATTCCAGCTCTGGGATTTCACAGATATCCCAGTGGATTAACCTGTACACAGAGGACCACTTCACTAGGTAGGCTCAGCTGTGTGACCTTGAATGGTGATGGCAGTAGCATCTAACTTCACTGAGCACTCAACATGTGCCAGGCACTGTGCTTAGCATTTTACTCATTTAATCTTCCTAGCTATCACTGAAGCGTATACTATTAGGATTCCTGTTTTATAGATGTGCACACTGAGGCTCAGACAGGCTAAGGGCTTGTATAAACTCTTTAGGCTAGGAAGAGAAAAGATCAAGATCTGAAGTCAGGTCTGTTGAGCTCCGAAGCACATGACCTGTGCTGCCTGCTTCACTCATTCATTCACTCATTCAGTTTAGTTTACCATAAGATGATTTTATCTATTTGACTTCTTGCCTATTTCTTTCTCCTCCACTAGGATGTCAGGTCCGCTGAGCAGCAACTTTGTTTTGTTCAGTTCTAACCCCAGAACCTAGACTAGGGCCTGCCCCATAGTGGGAGAACAAGAAAAGTTTATGGGTTGAATGAATGAATGAATGAACACGTGCCCAGCTCTGGGCTGCACTGTGCAGTGATAAGGATGCATAACTGTGTATGTAGGGGGAGATGATTGGCAAGCCGAGGGTGGGGATCTGTGGGGACCCGTCTGTAGCAGGTGCCCGGGACTGCCTTTTCCCAGCTCTGTTTGTCCTTCTGTAGGTGAGTGATATTTACCAGGTTCTTGAAGCTCCCGTATTGAAGGGAGGGGGCAGGAAGACAAAGTTCTAATAATAACCCTTTGCATTCCTGTCTCTGGGGCAACTTCTTCCAGGAAGCTCAAAGGCTTTTATAGATGTGGTTGATTGATTCTCAAAGGCCACCCTGAAAGGCTGGTGCAGAGCTGAGATGGGGGTGGGGGAGAGAGGTTAAGGCTGAAAAGGAAAGAGAAGCTAGAAAAAGAGGTGAAGGGTGTCAAAAAAAAATTTTTTTTTAAGCAGCTGCTGTTGCAAAGCCCAGGCACAAAAAAGCAGACACGGCAGGCTATGTGGCAGGTGCCTTTTCAAGTGCTTCACCTTCACAACGGGTCTCCAACTGGGAGTGGCTGTCAGCATCACCTGGAGGCCTCTGGCAACACAGATGGCTGTGCCAGGCCCCAGGAGTGTCTGATTCCTTGGGCGGGACCCACACTTTTGCATTCCTAACAAGTTAGCAGATGGTGCTAATGATCTGGGGAACCACACTTAGAGACCCACTGCCTTTCGCTAATCCTAGGAAGTAGATGCCGCCACTATCCCCATTTTGCAAGTGAAGAAACGGAGGCATTGCGAGAACTGGCGTGCCCAGGGTCTCTCTGTAGCAGAGCTAGGATGGAGGCTCGGTGGTCCAGCCAGGACCCTCTGCCATCCTGCTTCACACGGGAATGTGTCCCCAGCCCAGGCCTTCCACACTCAGTGCCTGCCCCCGCAGGATGTGCAGACCGACAGGAATCAAGGTGAGCACCCATTCCCACCTCCTGTGAGCCAAGTACTGTACACAGGCCTGACCTCTTTTAGCTCATTCAAACCTCCCGACGGCTCTACAAGATATCTTTCTTATGGGTACAGACAAGGAAGCTGACGCCCAGGGAGGCAGAGCAACTTGCTACGAAGCATCAGGGCCCTCTTCAAACCT